CGATGTTTCTAAGCCCGAGCTCCGGCACTTATTCCGATCCAATCGAGGCGCAGAACCGACGACCTTCGGTTATCCACCGCCGTTTCTTCGAACACGACGGCCGTGATACAGGAATTAATGCGCTTCAATTGTTAGCTCCTGATTTACACTGCCCTCGTACCTGTTGCTCGTTTGGTGTATCGACATAATGCGTAACTCTAACCATCATAGATAAAATCGAAAGTTTTTATCGAGTTTTCTGCGAGAACGCATCTCTATGCTAATTAGAAACGGTTTCTATTATTAGACGCTCCAGGTCTCTAACTCTTCCTACAGATTTTTTTGAGGTAAAATTTGTAAAAATAAAAAAGTTATTGCATAAATTTTGAAATGCGTTAAAACTCTAGAAATCTAATTTTAACTATTTTTATTTGAATGCAAATGCACTTTATAGTTCGGCAAAAATTGTAATTTGATTGGAAGCTATATAAGCTTAATGTTGAAATTTGCAAAGATCTTTATAGATGACAGTCATAGATAATTATTAAACAAAATATTAAGTGTTGTAAAGTTTGATCAAATTTACTGTCAATCTGCCAATATTTGGCTATCTGGATATTTTGTATAAAAAATCAAGTAGCTGTACATTAAAATTAAAAAATAAATTTCTGGAATACTAGAACAAATTTAAATATTAATTGTTAGCAATATTCTAAACTTAAAAAATATTCTTAACTGATTTATCTTATAAATATCTTGTATCTTGTATAAATATCTTATAAATTGTTCTTGTAAATTGTTACAAAAACTGTACAGCACTTGGTTTATTTTACATATACCTTTTTAAAATGCAAAGAAATACCGAGAGCATCTTCAAAATCGTTGAAAGCGACGCTTTCCAGTTTCTTTTATATAAAAGCGGAGCAAAAGGCGTTCCGACCTTTTAACTTGGTCGAGAAAAAGTTACCACATCTCGCTTCGCGGTTTGAAATTGATCTCGGCAAAGTTCCACCGCAAAGAAAACGCACTTGAAGCGGCGAAGAGTAAATGCCGAAACATATGCCAAAGCGTAAAAAGCTATGTTAAATGAGAAAGAATGTGCACGACAGTACGTGCTAAGAGAATTATCAAAGTCAGCAAACTTGCACCTCAGTATTTTAAACACAATTTGAGTTATCAAAAATTGTATAATTCGTAGCAGTTTAAGTATTCACTCAAACACGATTTTATTCGACCTGTAGACGTCCTATTACTTTGGTGGAGCACTATGCATTTCTGTTTATTTTACATATAAAAAATAAAAATGCAGATTACACGAAGACAATATATTATATTGTAGGGCGATTTGTTGTTATATTCATTTTCTCTGTAAAGTAGAAATGATGATCATTCTTCATTCTTTCGAGAAAAAGATGACCAATGGCAAAGAAATAAATTAGGACAAATCGCAGTTGGGGAGCTTCGATCGTATGGCGAAACAGCGACGCGACTTTTGTTCTTTATTCTACGCTCTTCTGAGGCAAAACATACACGAGAGAAGCAACCTTGGCCAAGTTTTGCAATGAAATATTGGAAATTTTGCTCTGCGAAGCTATACGATGCGATATATTTTGGTTTTAAATCACTTAACCCTATCTTATTATGATAGAACAGTATATTGGCAAATAAATCTCTAATTTATACTGTTATACTAAATTACAATTTAAGAAAATTTCAATCTACCGATAAATAAGTTCGTGATATATCTTAATTTTGCCGCTATGTCGAGATATTTAATAATTTATTGGAAAAAAAATAATCCGCTGTCATAAAACAAATTTATTCGAAAATAAATTTTTCCAGATGCACACCTCTATTTTTCGATAATTTATAATCAAAGTTTATTGCGTATACAGCCAGTTATAATTACTCGGAAACTCGTATGTGAAACATTCGCTTTCATCGATAAATAACTGAAATTGAACGGAACATATCGCGGTTAACGGACATGAAATCGTGGTCGAATGTATTTCCGTAGTTTGT